GCGACGCGCGCGCGTCGTCGACGCGCGCGCGNGCGACGACGTCGTCGTCGTCGGCGTCGCGTCGTCGTCGCGCGNGNGNGNGNGNGNGNGNGGGGGGGGGAGGGGGTCTCGCAACTCACGTGAACTTGTCGCCGCGTTCCTCGAGGACGCGGACGGCAGCCTCGCTGACAATCTCGGGACTCCTCCACCTCTTTTCCTCTTCCTGGTTGTTGCTGACAATCTTCATGGCGCTGGTGCCGATGAGGGTGTAGGGCCAGAGGGCATTGACGCCCACCTTTCCCTGCGTCTCGGCGGCGAGGGCGAGGGTGGCGAGCGACATGCCAAACTTGGCAATGGCGTACGCCGTACCCGTCTGCGCCAGCTGGCCCGGGAAGATGGTGTCGGCCGGCGAGGGCGAGAGCGTGTTGTAGGTGAGCGGGGGCGAGAGGGTGAGGATGTGCGGGTTGCGCGATTGCGAAGAGGAGCGGAGGAGGTGCGGCAGGGCGAAGCGCGAGACGAGGTAGGTTCCGCGCGCATTGATGCCGTTCTGTGAGAAAGGGGTACGGTTGAGGCAGATTGAGTCGGCACAGGGAAGTTCAGCATAGAGCAGGCGATGAGGCAGAGACGAAAGGAGGGAGCAACACTCACCATCAGATCGTACTGGTGGCATTGTCCGTCGAGCAAAGAGAAGCAAGGGTCGAATCGAGCGTTGTCAGGTTCAGCATCATGGCATTCGCCGCTCGCCTGTCGCCGGCCAGCACACTCACGCTCTTGACGCTCGCCTCGACGGTCGGCTTCATGTTGATAGCCGAGGCCTGCAGATGGCCTCGACAACAATGGCAGGGGAGTCGGCCTCATCAGCACACCGACGCTCACGAGGCCGTCGCCGAGCGTGGTGCGACTCACGTTGTTGACGACAATGTCTAGCGCGCCAAACCTTTCCACCGTCTTTTCAATGGCCGCCTCGACGGCGTCGGCATCGCGGATGTCGAGCTGCAGCGCCAGGCCGCGCGCACCTGTGTTGTGGCGCTCGCCGATCTCGTCAATCTCGGACACGGCCGTATGGATGGTTCCGGGCAGCTTCGGGTGCGGGTCCGCGCTGTTTTCCGTGGGCGATCGAGGTGAGCAGGACGCTCGACCAGACACTAGACGAGGACGAACGAGGGCGACATGGGGGTACGTACGTCTTTGCGGCCACGGCGACGTTTGCGCCGCGTCGGGCAAGGGCCTTGCCGATTTCGAGGCCGATGCCGCGCGAGGCGCCGGTACTGTCGCGGAGAGGGCCAGACACGAGGAGGATTGGGAGCTCAATCTTTTGTGTCGTAGTCAGCACGAGCGAAGACGGGACACAGCTGCTCACATGAAAGCAGTGCGACCTTTGTCGAGGAACAGCAAGGGCGGAAGCGATGTAGGGCTAGGTCAGTGGACGACGAGGCGCGGCGGAGGGAGCGATAGATGGACCCACCCACCTTTGAGGGACATTGCGACGATACGAGCGAGTGGCGAGGCGGGCGTTGAGGTGAGGAGTGGAAGGTGGGGATTGCGGTGGTGGTGAGGAGGGAAGAAGGGACGTCGTCTGGCTGTCAGGAGTAGTGTTGAAGAAGGGGGAGGTGGTTGGAAGAAGCCGCCTTGGGTTGGATGGCCCTCCGGGTTCGGATGGCGGGCAAGCCGGCAGCCGACCCACAGCAGCGGCTCACGCGTGCGTCGTTCGAGGGCGTTGCCTGCCCCGCACGCATGCACGTAGGCACCCTTCCCGGCAGGCCATCCAGAGGGTCGACCTCCACTCCACCTTCTGCCCCGCGGTCCGACGAGCAAACGCGCTGCAAGGCGGCGCAAAAGACGCGCGAAAATCAAGACGAAAAAGATCAGGTTCTGCCATACTGCCAGAGACCAGGTCGGTCTGCGCTTCTCGCTCGCGCTTGTGAAAGTCAATGTGCAAACGCTACCGCGACCCGCAACCACGACGCTCCATCCCCTTTCAAGCAAGCGAGTCCCTACGGTACCTGTGCAGTGTACACCGACGGCGGCGAACAGGGGCCGAACTCGTCCAAAGTCACCTGTGCCCACCGCCTTGCCCCTGCCGGTATCGCTGCAGCCGGTCACGCAGATCGGGGTCGTGCTACAGGTGAACCGAGCAGCAGGTGCACGGCGTGAGCACGAGCAGCGAAGGCAGGGAAAGGCAAGTGGTCAAGACGCGTTCAGATCGAGGGGGTCAGCTATCCATCTCCGACGCTCGGAGCGATGCATCCCAAGCACCGCGGACTCACCACGCAGTCGCCCTTGA